TCTCTCCTGTTAAAATGGAAGCCAACTGAGGGCAAGAACCCTGTGTTTTTACCAATGTATTCCCAGTGCTTAGCACTCTGCCTTGTGCATGGTAAGCACTTAATAAATGCTTGTTAACTAACTCATTGATATTGCCCTCAGAGGTCCCTCTCAATGCTGGCATACTGACATCCATGACACTTAGCCCTTTGCTTCTACAGACAGATATTTTTCATTTATCAGAGGATCAGAAATAAGAATAAATTATATGAACCTATGTGATGGAGTTTTCCAGGATTTTAATACAGTTATCCCTTCTGCATTACAACTTTCTCCATTGCAATTTTGATATAATGCAGGTCAGCATGAAAAGTTAAATGGGAATTTGGGGGGAGTTTTGTGGAAGCCATAGATGATATGCAAGACCAGCAGATGGCACAGAACCTATGACTAAATACTTAACCCGAATTTTACAGTAAGGTACTGCTACTTAGAAGGAAAAGAAAGCATTCAGACTTCTTCTCTGGTATAAAGGGAAGGGTAAAATATTTTATGCAGATTTTCCTGATCACAGGGACACCATGCCCTGAATGCCCGTGATGTGGGAGGCATAACAGTATATTTACTTTCATCAAGATTATCAAAAGATTATTTCTGAAATGCTTACAATCTTAAGATTTTAAAGTTTAAATTATACAAGGTTTGCTATGAAGACCCTCTAATAAGTGTATATATGTGTGCATGCTTAAGAATTGGACGGTGAAAAGATGCTGACTGAAGTTAATTTAGAATGATGTACAAATAAGAAGGGTAAGAATGAGGGAAAGGAAAAATGCTTCTTGTAGTCCAGGTTAAAGGGGTATGTTTGCATGTGGACATATGCATATTTAATGAAATGTTATTCTCTGAGCCCATAGAGTCTTCATGAGGCATTTGGATCACTGATTTAGGTAGAAGGGACCTCTAGTCCAGCCCCTAATTTTACATGTCTCTGAAATGTGAAATGACTTGCTTACAAGGGAGGTTTCAGTCATGTCTGACTCTTCATGGTCCCATTTTGGGTTTTCTTGGCAGAGATACTGAAGTGGTTTGCCATGTCCTTCTTCAGCTCATTTTACATATGAGGAAACTGAGGCAAAAAGGGTTAAGCAACTTGCCCAAGGTCACACAGCTAGTACTTGTCTGTGGCCAGATTTGAACTCAGGAAGATGAGTCTTCCTGACTCCAAGCCCAGGGCGCCATCCACTGCACCACCTAGCTGTGACATAGAGAGGAGCAAGCAGTAAAGATAGCTTGGAGATCAGGTACTCTGACTGCACATCCATTGGTATTTCAAAGCAACAGCTTGTGTGTATGTTCTGGAAATGGGCAGGAGGGGAGGAGAGAAAGATGACCTTGGTATTTTAGATGAGATCCAACATCCTAGGTGGGTCTTTAACAATAGGTGTGCATAATTCATGGAGAAAGTTAAACATTTTAATATGATTATCTCAAATACTGTTTCTGATGGAATGGGGGCACTGTTCCCAAAAGTTTCTAAGGTAGGTCTCCATGGAAGAAAAGGTATGTGTTTTTGCTGGAAGCCTGGTCAGTGCAACTTCTTGGATTCAGGACACAACCTGAATAACATTTTTACTTCTTGGTTTTTCTCCTTAATAATGTTATCAGTACCCCAATGTTAGGTAAAATTGTATCGCAGATATGGCGGGGGGGAGTAGCCCACAGATTTACTTTATTTTGAATTAAGGTTGATATAGAAACCTGTGATGGAAATTATGGGACCCAGTGAGTTTATAGCCATTTGTACATGTCATATGAAAACTCTGAAAGGAAACAAAAACGGCCTTGGGGATAATTAAATGAAAGCAGTAATATTAAGGATTAGTAAAATCACATACTTTTTCAGTGGGAGAATTTCATTGACCAAAATGTCATAGTATTTGATGGCTGTGAGAAAGTGAGAACAAGAAGAGAGAGGAGAGAAGAGAGAGAGAGAGAGAGAGAGAGAGAGAGAGAGAGAGAGAGAGAGAGAGAGAGAGAGAGAGAAGAGAGAGAGAGAGAAAGAGAGAGAGAGAGAGAGAGGGAAGGGGAGAGATGCATATATATAATAAATATAAATAAATATTATACAGAAATATATAATTTAATTTCTTAATTTAATTTAAACATTTAATTTAAATATATTTGTTTAGTTAAGAGTTTGGTAGGAATGGTTGTACAAAAGAGGCAGCAGAATTACACATAAAACTGGCTGAAGTAAGACTTCCATTGTTTAATTTGGTATGTCCCTGTCAGCTGGGTGGCACAGAAGAGAACTAGGCTTGGAGTCAGGCAGACCTAAGTTCAAATCCAGTCCCAGACACTTCCTAGCTATGTGACCCTGAGCAGATTATTTATCCTCTGTCTGCCTTGGTTTCCTCAACTGTAAAATGGGAGTAATCATAATAGCATCTACTTCCCAGAATTACTGTGAAGATCAGATGAGTTAATATTTATAAAGTGCTTAGCACATAACAAGGCACAGAGTAAATGCTTAATCAATGCTCATTTCTTTCTTCCTTTCCTCACTTCCTTCCTCCCTCCCTTCCTCTCTCTCTTCTTTCCCTCCTTCTTTCCCTGGTGCCTAGCAAAGTGCTTGCACGTGGCCTGTACTTAATAAATACTTATTTAAATGAAAGCTGAGTTTCGATTTCCTTTAGGTACAGAACCTTGATCTGGCTGTACAACCTGAATTATCTCCTGTTTCTTTCTACAGCTGACTTTCCAGAATTGTAATGTGAGACCTTCCTTCCGGACATTCAGTGGAGTAGCTTATTTTGTATTTTTATAAGACAAATACAAGCATTGTTGATGTGTCTACGACAAACACACACACACACATAATACACCTCCACCTTAGCAAAGCATCACTTAGATATATATTTTATAACTGGCTGTTTTTAATGTCCCGTTTCCTGACTGAGCACAGCAGTAGAGTTTCGCAAAAGAAAATGAAGCTTCATGTTTTATTAGTCACTTGCCATCTTATTCCATGCTGTTTTAAATGCTGATGCCCAGGCTGTTACTCAAAGGGGGCACAGTCATTCAAGCGGACTGGGGTGTGGGAAACCAATCAAAAGTTACTTTTTGATTACATTGTATTTTCATTTTATTGTTACATCTGAACTTCCCCAAGGCTAAAACAGATTTAGACATAATATCTAAGTGACTATAAAGAACATCTTCTCTTAAAAAAAAAAAGTTACACATTGCTGTGATAGGAAATGCCTGAGCCAGAGACTGCTGCTGTTGACTTGGGAAGATAATAAAGCACATAGAAATCAGAGGCAGTGCCCAATAAAGCCAGAAATGAATGAGTAGGCCTTGGTTTGGTCCCGTGTCATTTTTTCTTTGCAATCATAAGCTTGCTCAAATTTAAATGGAAATTCCCCTTCATTTCCCTGTGGAGGAAGTGAAAGCTACCACGCTTTCTATCCACAGAAACATAGGTTTTCCTGCAGCACTTAATGGTGACAGAGGGCACTGGAGGAGAGGAAGCATGACATGTTAGAAAGCCTTTCGTTCTACTTTAAATACCTGCTCTTACAACCAGCTCCACTTTGTACGTCCATGTAGGAATTGACAAATATTGGAAAGTTGGGTAAACTCGGAATTCTAAAAGTCCTTAATACTTCATTAAAATATAACACCTAGGACAGTGTAGCCATTCCTATCACCAGCTAAGAAATGCATTTCTGACATCAAGGGAATTCCATTAGAAGTGACAGATAGAGACTAAAAATCAGTGTAAAGATAGAAGATCTCCTTCTTTCTCACTTCTACAGCCAACCACCATTTGTTTAACACTAAAAATGCATGACTCAAACAGGTAACCATATTTCTATGAGATTAATGGAATTGTGTGTGTGTGTGGTACATAATTATTTTTATATATGCATATACATACATCAGTTTTACCAATAGCATGACCTCCCGTCTGAATGAGTAAACAATGTCTTCCAAAAGCTAACATGTAGTTTTGAAGCTATGTATGTGTGTGTGTGTACACATGCACACACATATATATGTATATGTATGTATCTATATGTATAAACATAAACTCAAATATAGTAGTTATAGAGCTAGATAAAAATTGCTTAAATAGATCAATAACATTATACTTAAAAACTTCTCTTTGGTGAAGGTGGGATGAGTTGAAAATGTAAATAATTAATTTCAGTAAGCATTTCTTATGTGCCTCCTATGTGCCAGCCCCCATGGAAGACACTGGGGATGCCACAGCCAAGTTCTTGCCCTCAAGGACCATACTTCTCCTAGGAGTAAACAACATGTATACAAATGAGTGAATTGAAAATATAAGTATATAATATAGAAATGTTTTTCATGATTTCACATGTATAATGCATATGATATTACCTGCCTTCTTAGCAAGTGGGGGAGGAGCTATAGTGAAGGAAAGAATTTGGAACTCAAAATTTTAAAAATGAATGTGAAAAAAGAAAATATAAGCATGATAATTAGCAAATGTTTTTGCAGAAGACATGAAAAATGCTATGAACAAGGGCTATGAACAAAAATTTATTCCAAAGTTTAGGGATTTTTTTTTTATTGAAAATGAGATTTGAATTCTTTTGGCACTTAGAAAAATTGTTTTGAATTCTTAGTTTCTGAGGTCATCAGTCCTTTAAAGAAATGATAGTTTCATGCTTTTCCAAACCTTTCTGCTGACTGTGTTGTTGTTGTTGGGGGTTTTTAAGTGAATTCACCCAGAAATAGTACCAAGAGTTCTAATTTCTATGATGAAGTAAAGTACATCTCAAAATAGTTTGGAGACAGTAAAATGGGGTGTGCATTAGTGGAGCGCCCTACAATTTCCAATCTTGTTTAGCTTCTTTAAATAGAGTTGGAATATTCCATTATTAGATTTGAGAATGATTATGCCTTTTTAGTAAATGAAGAGAAGACTGTAACATAGAAAGCACATGGAAGGAACATAACATGTGTCCTAATCTGCTTTTCAGGCACGTCTCCAGACTTTGATTTGGCTGAACCAATTCACGCTGTGGACCTTTGTGCCCAGGCCTGGAATTGAGAGGTGCTGTTAAAAGACTCCCAATCACTTCCTGCCCTGTGAAAACTCAGAAAATCATCCTTCAGACTCTGGATAGTCACGCATCACAACTGAAACTTTGCTTGAATGTTTACGTTTTGTGCTTGCCATCCTGGATATCTCTTACTAGTGTTTGGACTTTGTTAAATTGGAAGAAAGTGGAGGCGTGAACTTCCTACCAAACCAGCATGGCTAGGATTCGCTTTGCCTTAGTAGCTTGCCATTTGGTGCTGGAATTGCTGATGAATTCATTAACTGAGTCTTCCATCCAGAGTAATGAATGTCCACAACTTTGTGTGTGTGAAATCAGACCGTGGTTCACTCCACAATCCACATACAGAGAGGCCACGACAGTGGACTGCAATGACCTCCGCTTAACAAGAATTCCCAGCAACCTTTCAGGTGACACGCAAGTTCTCCTCTTACAGAGCAACAACATTGCCAAGACCTCTGATGAGCTCCAGCAGCTTTTCAACTTGACAGAGTTGGATTTTTCACAGAACAACTTCACAAGTATACGGGAAGTGGGACTGGCCAATCTCACCCAGCTTACTACCCTCCATCTGGAGGAAAATCAGATCACAGAGATGACTGATTACTGTCTGCAGGACCTCAGCAACCTGCAAGAACTCTACATAAACCATAACCAGATCAGCAGCATTTCTGCTAATGCCTTTTCAGGGCTGAAGAATCTTCTGAGGCTCCACCTCAATTCCAACAAATTGAAAGTGATTGACAGTCGCTGGTTTGATTCGACACCTAACCTAGAAATCCTGATGATTGGGGAAAATCCAGTGATTGGCATCTTAGATATGAATTTTAAGCCCCTTTCAAATCTACGCAGCTTGGTTTTGGCAGGAATGTATCTCACTGACATTCCTGGAAATGCCTTAGTAGGCCTGGACAGCCTTGAAAGTCTTTCTTTTTATGACAATAAATTGGTCACTGTCCCTCAGCTTGCACTTCAGAAAGTTCCAAACTTGAAATTTCTAGACCTCAACAAAAACCCGATTCACAAAATCCAAGAAGGGGACTTTAGAAATATGCTGAGGTTGAAAGAACTTGGCATCAACAATATGGGGGAACTGGTATCAGTGGATCGCTATTCACTGGACAATCTGCCTGAGCTCACAAAACTCGAAGCCACCAATAATCCTAAGCTGTCTTACATTCATCGCTTAGCTTTTCGCAATGTCCCTGCTCTTGAAAGCTTGATGCTCAATAACAATGCCTTGAATGCTGTTTACCAAAAGACAGTGGAATCTCTTCCTAACCTGCGTGAGATCAGCATTCACAGCAATCCTCTGAGGTGTGACTGTGTCATCCACTGGGTTAACTCCAACAAAACCAATATTCGATTCATGGAGCCCCTGTCCATGTTTTGTGCCATGCCACCTGAATATAGGGGGCAGCAGGTAAAGGAAGTTTTAATTCAGGACTCAAGTGAACAGTGCCTCCCTATGATTTCTCATGACACATTTCCAAATCATTTGAACATGGACATTGGCATGACAGTATTCCTAGATTGTCGAGCCATGGCAGAACCTGAGCCTGAAATTTACTGGGTAACACCACTTGGAAATAAAATAACAGTGGAAACTCTTTCAGACAAGTATAAGCTGAGCAATGAAGGCACTTTGGAAATCACTAGTATACAGATAGAAGACTCAGGGAGATATACTTGTGTTGCCCAAAATGTAGAAGGGGCAGATACACGAGTAGCTACAATAAGGGTCAACGGAACCCTTTTGGATGGTACTCAGGTGCTGAAAATCTATGTCAAACAAACAGAATCTCATTCCATCTTGGTCTCCTGGAAGGTTAATTCCAATGTCATGACTTCAAACTTAAAATGGTCATCTGCCACAATGAAAATCGATAACCCCCATATCACGTACACTGCCAGAGTCCCTGTTGATGTTCACGAATACAACTTAACACACCTTCAGCCATCCACTGATTATGAAGTGTGTCTCACAGTGTCCAACATCCATCAACAGACTCAAAAGTCTTGTGTTAACGTCACCACAAAGAATGCTGCATTTGCACTTGACATTTCGGATCAGGAAACTAGCACTGCCCTGGCAGCAGTCATGGGGTCGATGTTTGCAGTGATTAGCCTGGCTTCCATTGCAGTTTATGTAGCCAAAAGGTTTAAGAGGAAAAATTACCACCATTCATTAAAAAAATATATGCAAAAAACCTCTTCAATTCCCCTGAACGAGCTGTATCCTCCACTAATTAACCTTTGGGATGGTGACAGTGAAAAAGACAAAGATGGCTCTGCAGAAACCAAGCCAACTCAAGTTGATACGTCCAGAAGCTATTACATGTGGTAACTCAGTGGATATTTTGCTTCTGGTAGTAAGGAGCACAAAGACGTTTTTGCTTTATTCTGCAAAAGTAACAAAGTTTGAAGACTTTTGTATTTTTTGACTTTGCTAGTTTGTGGCAGAGTGGTGAGGACGGGTGGATATTTCCAAATTTTTTAGTATAGCGTATCGCCATGGTTTGACACAGGTGGCAGCTTCTCCAAGCTTCCAGTTTGTGTTTGATTTTATTATTATTATTATTATATTATGATTATTTTATTTTGTTTTAGTTGTTGTGCTAAACTTAATAATGCTGTTCTAACTACAATGCTCAATAAAATTATTCAAGACAGGTTGGGGTTCCCCTGTGATTTGACCAATAGCATGACCCCCCCTTCTTCTGAAGCCATCAGTAGAGAGTACAGTGTCCTGCAAAAAAGCTAACATACAGTTTTGAAGCTGTATTGAATCATTTGTAGAAGTCTGGTCTATAGACTCTTCACCCAAGAAGCCAAGACTAGACTTGCTATCTTTGTCGAATGCTGTTAGTTGACTGTACTGTAATGTTGTATCAACTGAACTTTGAATGTTTTGACTTTGAACAATGCCTTTTTTTCCCTCTCTTTTTTTGTAATAGTTTAAGAGGCTTAGGTCAAGCTAACAGGCAATAGAAATATGTATATCAATTTTTTAATGTAACAAACTACATATTAATTGTTATCTTATTCTTTTTATTATATTTAGTAGACACTTTTAAAAAGACCAGAATTTTGTTGTGTTTAATCCACCAACGTGTGGTGTATAATGAAGACAGAACTATAATAAATTAGTTTTGTTCTGATTTTTTTAGAACAGTTGCAATAATGGGTCCTTTATAACTATTGTGAGTTGCATGGAAGATGCTTTTTGTGAATAGGCCAAGAAGTTGTGATTTCCTCTGTTGGGAAACTTACTCCCCCTACCCACCACCATGATTGCAAAGAACAGATTATGACTTTGACATGATGGATAGAGAACTAATGGACTTGGATTCAGAGTGACCCCAGTTCAGATCCTCAAAACCTCAAAGACTTACTAGCTTTGTGACACCCCCCCCAGGAATAATAATAATAACACCTACCTCACAGGGTTGTTGGGAGGATCATATGAGATCACACACACACAGTGCTTTGCAAACTTTACAGGTTTATTAGCTATTATTACTAGCTACTAATAGAGATAGGGCAATTCAGTTCAACAAATACTACTTTGATTCATTGGAACATGGTTCTAGAGTTGGAAGGGATCTCAAAGGATATCTGGTCCAATGCTCTATTTTTATAGAGGAGGAATTTGGGGCCCAAGAAGGTTTCGGGATTTGCCCAGGATCACACAGGGAGTAGGCATCAAAGGCAGGATTTGAACCTGGTCCTCTGACTCCTTTATTAAATAACTACCACATTCAAGTAGTGACTGTGTTCTAAGGATACAAAAACAGATACAAAGCTGTGCCTGCCCTCAAGGGGATTACATTCTTTTTTTATTATTATTTTTAATGTACGGAATAAGACAAGTATTTCCATAACATGGTACAATAAAATAGATTATTTTACAGTGAACTGCAAATCTGCTATGCACAACTTGCTATTCCTTTCAAAGAAACAAAAAAATTATCATGTAAATTTCTTTTTTTTCCTTCCCTCCCTCTTTCCACCTCACCACAGCCTAGGGATGGCTACCATTCTGCTGAGGAGAAAATACAAAATTGCAAATTCCTTGGAACCTCCTCAAAGATGCTGATGCTCAGGCTCCATGAAGCTTTATCTTTGTTTAAATAATTTCTGCCACCAAATCAATCAGGCTTGTAAGTTAAGATAGAGGAAAATATTCTGTAAAGAAAGGCCAGAGTTTCAGAGCTAGCAGGTACTCTAAAAGCCATCAAGTCCAATTGCTTCATTTTATAGGCCCCTGAGGCCAAAGGAAATGAAATGACTTGCACATGAGGTTATTTGCCCAAGGTTATACCAAATCATAAGGGTTAGATGCAGGATTTGAACTTGGGTCTGCTGACTTCTAAGCCTATTTTCTTTCCACTGTACCATGACACCCCCATGTACCATGACAGCCTCTTGAGGGATTTAGAAGATAAATGGCCTACACAGGGTCACAAGAATTGAACACATATTGCTGACTCCAGACCACCACTCTATCCAGTAAATGTCAGTGTTTTTTTCGTATCAACAAAAATTTAGCTACAAAATATTAGTTTGTTTATAGTGAAATCCAAAAAATTTGTTTGTCCTTTAGGGAAGAAATCTCTTTTTAATGAGGTGGGTTTAATTAAAAGAATTCTCCATTTTAAATAATCCTATTAAGAATCAAATGAAAAATATTCCATGTTGCATAAAATTCAATAATTCAGCAGCATTTATTGAGTACCTACTGTGTGCCAGAATCTGGGGCATTCAGAGACAAAAATGAAATAGTCCTTATCCCGAAGAAACTTACATTCTACTATATAGAAAGGGCATGTCATTGAATCCTATGTATATCCAAATTTTAAATATTAATTTAAACATTTTAAATATTATATCCCTAGAAGCAAAATCTATCAAAAGCTATACATTCCCTTTCTGATGTTTTTTTTTTATTGCAAACTGAGTTTTTCAGAAGGGTTTTTGTTTTTGTGGTCTTTTTCCCTA